ATGTTTAACAAAGTTTAAGATTTCGATTGGAACAAAACAGATTGTTGCAAAGATTTAATGCTGTTTAGTACTTTTAATGCTTGATTTCCTTATTTAGGAATTACTTTTACTGCTTAATAAAAGTTTTTCGGAGGTTTTTTTACGTAAACTTTTGTTAGAAGTGTAATTGGTTAAGATTTTCTTCATTATTATTACAGTTTTGAATACTTTGGTTTGATTCTAAAAGGGTTGTACTCATTATAAATAAATTATTTTGTTTATCAACGTCTTAGCAGCGTTTTTACTTTAACATAGTTAAATGTTTAACTGAATATTCACGTAACTAATATCATAAAGGTAGTTATTCAAAAGTTATATAAGATCGTTAGGGAAGTTATTCTTGAGTGGCTCATTTCAAACTAGAGTCAACTAAAGCCTCGTAGTTAGCATCGACTCGCATTATCCTCTGCTATTTCAGCGAACAGTAAATAATAATAATTCTGTATCCACATATCCGTGGCTGCATATTGTCGCCTAACAAGCAACCCTTGAGAGGTCGATGGGGGAACACTACGTCTGCGCTCCACGAGTAGAAGAGAGTATGTGTAATTTGAATATTGTGAAAAAGATTTTTCACAAAAAGGTTTTATTTCTCATGTAATTTGAAGTTAATTATGTGCATTAAAGGATTAATAAAAACCTTGAAAACGTAAGCTAAAAAGAAAAATCATTTTATCATTTTTACCTCTACATTGTCTAGGTTTTATATATAATCTATGGTTTCCAAAACAAAGATTCCGGTAACGTATAAAAAAAATCTAAGTTTAAGGTAATTATTAATTATAGGTAAAAAGCGTTTAAAAATTCAAATTGAAATGTTAGCAACAACCCTATAATATTCTCCAAGTCGTTGATTAACAACCTAGCATGCTAGATAACATCAACATATCAACAATGTTGAAGGGAATTTGCATTTGCAACTTTACGAAGGCGGACCGTGTTGCCTGTCAAAACGAATGGGAAATATGCGAGAAAGAGTGACTGGATAACAAGCACACACACATACACTACACGTGGGGTCGAGGCGGCCATCTTGAAAACCATTCACTATCGGAAAATTTAGTTTGCCTCAAAAGGAATTGGAAATAAATAAAATTGAGACGGCTCGTGCGGAAGGTAACTCGAATGGACGACGTTAGTTATCGAATAAATGGCTGGACGTACGAAAGCGAATTGCAGAAAATTTTGTAGTTCATAAATATTCAGCAGCTATACGAACTAATTGAGATTTTTTTTACTACTATTGATTCTAGATATTGTTTGAAACAGAGTTAAGATAGCAATGCAATTTAAAGGCAGTAATAATGTTATAATTAATTAAAAAAAGAGAACAATTATAACAAAAGAAAATCGAAAAACAATTGAACCTAATGTTACATTTACTATGAATTGGTACTACCATACAAATAATGTCACGGAATCATTTTTATTCTATTCATCTACAATCCATAAATCAAGCATAATGTTTTAAAATAATAAAATTAATAGCTAGGGTCATATTACAGTTTCAGCATTAGCCCTGCTTTAAAGATTTGCCAAAAAATTCAACAACCGATAAAATTCCAACCGAGTCTAGGCAAAGAAAGTCATTTGTTAGTCGATTTAGCATCGCGCTTATTTTCGGCTATCCGACTAGAGGGACCAAAAACGAGTAGCGACTGAAACAAATACCTCGTATTCTTATAAATAGTGATGTACGGAATGTATCGATGTTTTAATAACAGTTCTCAAAAAACAATCTAGCAGAATTTTAAGTTTTTAATAATTACTGAAAAAGATCGAATAAATCATACTAATATTATAAATGCGAAAGTTTAGATGGATGGATGAATGTTTGTTAGAGTTTGTATCCTAAACGGTTAAATGGATCTCGATGAAATTTGCCATAGATGTAAAATTGGATAGTCTGGAAGAACACATAGGGTACTTGCATTTGGTTTTGTTTTTAATTCAGCGGGGACGGAGTCGCGGGCGAAACTAGTACTTTAATAAATTAATTCTATACAAATTGATAGGTTTCATTTATAAAGAAAACAACTGTAAATCCTAGACCGTAACAGAAAATAGCGATCAGTAAACACGATAAAAAGTGTATCTACAATAAGAACGGTATAAAGATATGAATTTTATGATTTGCATTACACCTTTTCTATGTTAATTAACTTGAATAATTATAACTGTGGTGTGAAATAATAACTTACAAAGTCGTGATGATAACTGGCCATTAGAAATTTTGCATCGTTTTTTCTTAATTGCACACTTGTAAGTTTTATAACACGTTGAAAAAAGTACTAAATAATAACTCTTTTTCGCACGCGACTTAATACGAGTGGAACTACAAAAATATAGCCTATGTGTTCCAGGCTAAACTCGACATCTATGCCACATTTCATCAAAGAGAAACTCTTACAAACATCCATCCATCCAAACTTTCGCATTTATAATATTAGTAAGCTCATGGTAATTTATAGTAACTACGTATAAACAAAATAGTCTAAAAAGTAAGAGAAAGCTATTTATTTTAATTTTTTAGACATATAATTGGTTTATGTTTTTTTTTTCATATTTTTAATAGTTTATCGATAACTTATAGTGACGTGAAAACCATCACTATAAGTTAACGTACAAGGAAGCGAATCGCGTCGAAGCGAAGAATTTCAGGGGCACTATAAATGTGTACAGTTTTGTTCCTGACGTCTCTCCATCAATTACGACTTTCGTAAAGCAACACTCCAGCATAGCCCATTTGTTTTTATTTATGGCCCGACTTACTGGCGATAGGGTTTGCCCCGACTCATGCGTACAGACCGATTTGTTTATAGTATATGATTGAAAGTTATGAAATATAGATTTACTTACAGATGTAATGCCAAGTGCTATTATTTCTAGCTAGCTGTTGCCCGCAACTTCGTCCACGCAATATTAAGACTAAAAGTAGTGTACTCGTATAATATGCCCGTCTATGTCAGTTACCCTTCAGTAAAGTTCGGTCGAAATCGGCCTAGCCGTTTCGGAGATTACCCGGAACATAAGCTTGCGGACAGACAGACAGTCAGACAAAACATTTTTAAATCATCAGTTTTATCTGAACAGTCGGATATTTAGATAATCAAAACTGGATGCTGTTCATTTCTCAGTTTTGCGTACACACGTTAAATTTATCTGAAAGATCTAACTGTTCAGATAAAACTAAGCGGATGTGGCGATGTATCTGGCATGCAGAAACACCGACGGCGCATGTCAGAGAGGAGGAAGAAAAGAAATGTCATTATGATAGTAAACTAGATCGAGGACGAATATATGTAAATAAAGAATTATTACTATACGAGTCTTTAGTGGTGACCCCGACGTGATCTGAACACGCAACCTTCTGAAGATAATTCAGGCTATGCGGTGCAAAGAGATAGTAGAAGCTCCAATTCTCATATGTCTCGCTCATCGTCTGGTAAAGGTTGGTATTATACTAAATTCGGGCGAAAAGCCAATCGGTACAGCATTCCAGGCAGTTCCAAAGTATCTAGTGAGCATTCCTTTAGTGGGCTTTATAAAAAACCATAGTACAAATAATTTCAAAACGTATCTAAATCTTCGTATATCAATTATCAAGTAAATATTTAATTTGTTACATGTCAACCAAGCCAATAAGAAAACGTGAAACATTATTGTAACGGCATACAAGAAAAATATATCCGTCGGCTTTCACTGCCATAACAAATGTAATTAAATACAGCTGTTTCAAAATTAATAGTGCAAATAAGAGAGGCAATATTAGTAACAATATTTCGTCCGTGGAAACTTAGCCTAGTAACTTAACCTATAATTCGTATAAAATATCTGCTTATTTCTTCGCTTGTCAAATTCGTAGCTAAAAATTCGGAATCAAGATATGATGTTACCATTTTCTTTATCAAAGACACACACACATACAAAATAACAAGGTTTTCTCATCGCATAATAAATACCACACTTGCGCAATTGAATTTTTATTATCACTTCATTTTCGACTTTATACCAATGTTATAGATATCATATTCAAACAACTTAAACTTTGATAAGTACATTCAGTGAAAAAAGTGACTTTATTTTGATAAACATTAAAAAAGCATTTTTATTGCTTATTTTATCGCACATAGGCCCATTTCTGGTTTAAAGTAAATCCTGTACGATATTCGTGTTTAAGCAAAATCCAACCTTAGATCACAAGAATAGAGTTTAAATTCTAGTGGATGGGAAAGATTGAAGGTATCGCGTGGGTGAGCACGCGTGGCAACAATAGTGTCCGAAAGGGGTTGTTAGTTTTCGGTACACTGCGCACCAGTTCTGCGCAATCACAAGATGGCGTCGTATAGCCACGCGCCATTATCTCACATTTCACGTATTAAGTTAGTTTATATCGAAAATGTCTAAAGAAATGAAAAAAAAATTAGAAGTGTAAGTTTTAAGCTTAATTTTCAAAATAAAAAGTAAGCATAAATCATGGAATTGTGAGAAATTTTGTGTTTTATTTATGTGTTGTTTGTGTTCGCATTTATTAGTGTGACATAGATTCGTCAAAATAATATTTGAATATTATATTTGCATATATATACAGATTAGTTCTGTTCAGGCTTAATATCTAGTGATTTTGAACCGAGACTTTGTATTATAAAGTCTTTGTTGTGTAAATAATTTGTTCTTCTATACTAATATTAAGGGGAAAGATTTGTATTTTTGTATATTTTGACACAACTCAAAAACTAAAAGGCCGATTTGAAAAATTCTTTCACCATTAAAAAGCTACGTTACCACTAAATAACATAGGCTACATTTTTTTGCTATTTCTTAATATCCCGTGAATAAAGCAAGCAATAACTTAACAAATATATTTCTAACTTAGAATGAATAAGTGTTCATTTATCTCCCAGTTAGCATTAAAATAGTGGGTTTTCACTTGTTTTACATATATTTTCGTTTTGTTACAGATATTGCCACAAAAGCTGCTGGGAAAATTTGACGACAGAAACAGAAGAAGTGAATTATTAATTAAATATTTTGAATTGAATAAAAGAGTTTTGTATTTTTTTTAATAAATGTTACGTTTAGTTTACACAAATTATTACTAATACTTTGCACCTGCTAAAATTGAGTTCACAGCATCTTGAAAAGAAATCACAATTCAAAGTATTATCAAAGAATAACCGCATGCAAATCATTTTAACAATAGTATTGTTATATTATTTATTAAATTACAACTTGTATTGTTACATTTAAATATAACACGCACTTCAGTTCCCAAGGCGTATTGTGTTTGGTCGAGTCATCCTTGATAATAATAAAGTAACCCTTTCATTGTTACGCAATCTTTGAACCCTTGTATGGAATGTTGGAAGGGAATTCGTAAAGATATATGAAGTTACTAGCTTCGCCCGCGAATTAATAAAAACAAAAGTGAGTAGCCTATGTGTTCTTCCAGACTATCCTCTAGGTATGCCAAATTTCATCGAAATCCGTTCATCTGTTTAGGCTACAAATTCTAACAAACATCCATCCATCCTTGTAAACTTTTGCATTCATAATCTTAAAGTATACTTCTAAAGTATTATTATGCATCACAAAATCTTACTATTAATATTATTAAAGCGAAAGTCTAGATGGATGTTTGTTACAGTTTGTAGCCTTAACGGCTGAACGGATCTCGATGATATTTGACATAGATGTAGAGGATAGTCTGGAAGAACACATAGGCTACTTACTTTTTTATTTGGAGTCGCGTGCGAAAACTAATATTTAAATAAAACAGTAGCTAATTTATATTAGCTGTAAATAATTTATATTGTGCATACCTTTTTTTAATAAAATAAATACTTTATTATTTAAATATAAACAATATGTTAATATTCTCTTGAAATGAATGATTTTAGATTATGTCTTAATTATTTCTGTCTAACTAATAATTGTTCATTAATTTAATTACACTTAATTGATACATACCTGTATAACAATTTAATTTTTAACTTTTTTTTACTATTTATTTCATTTATTAAATACAAACATGCTTTTTTTTTTCAAAGATTAAAACTAGGACCTACCTATTATTTTTTGCCTCATCCTTTTATGATAATTTATACAAAAGTAAAGAAAAAAACTACGTTAAAATTAAATTCACGTGTACTACAACACCTTTACAAAAAAAAAACACTTTTTCCATCTGGCAACTCGGAAATTATTAATACTCTGTGGTGAAAAAAAAACCGAAACGGCCGAGCCCTCCACTTTCGATCTCGATCGAGTTTTTTCCCGCTTCCTGAACTTTACATCTGTGCGACAAAAAATGACAAACACTACGCGACCATATTCTAATTATTCATATGCGTTACCGGCAAATAGTGAACTTCGCTAGTATGTAATTTCCTAGGCTAATCGAAAAGAGTTGACGAATTGCATATCAAATGTAGTTTAATAACTAACATATTATTACTCGATTTTAAAACTTTCACAAAATCAAATCTTAATATTACAAATTATAAAAATGTAATACCTTATAATGTAAATGAGTTCGTTCGATATGCGACTTGTAGAGCCGAAGTCTGCCTGGGCAAATTACAAACTGGCAGAGTGTATAATTTCCCGGTGACATATACAACGGACTTTAACACGGTAAAAAATAAAGGGTTAACTTTTTGCTCTATTGAAAACGAACACTTTTATATTATGCAAATGTCTTACATTTGCATATTGGTTTTTTAAAGTAAAGAATCACGCACATCTGTCGTTAGTTCCGTTTCCTATTTTTTTTATTTTATAAATAGATAGGCTTAGGAACAACCAGTTACCGTTTTATGCTACTACACTAGCTATCGCCAGCTACTTCATTCGCGCGGAATTAAAATAAAACCTGCGCATGCAGACATTAATCTCTGTGCTGGATTTATTCCGATTTTGTAACTTACGTCATATCAACCATCTAAACTATTGCAGAATATTAGTAATATTAATAAAAAAATAATTTATGTCAATTTGGTCGAATCTATTATAGTCAATTATTTTAAACATCCAAAACAACATTATGTAACATGCCATAAACAGTTGGGGACAGCAGATTAAAAAGCTATTAAAAAAACCTTAAGGGCTTTTCAATTTTTTATTACAAAGATTAATATTTGTATTTTATTATACTTGAATTAATATTAAAAATCAACTTAATAACTAACAATCCTATCGTAAAACAGTATAATTCTTGTTCAGTGGTAATTAGTAAGGCATAAAACTAGGGCTGCCACCTTCGGGGCATGCATTTACTTTAGGGGCTTAACATCGCTGGGTTCTTCACTAATTCTTTAATGCCATTGGAAAATAGGTCATTCAATGTTAAGGTTTTTCTTCGTCTCTTTGGTAGTTGCCATTAGTATTCGTGAGTTTACTCCAAGTTAGCAGCCCTACATAAAACGTAAGATGCGTAACTAACCACGGTACCTAAGACAGGCCGGTTAATAAAGGTAATAAACCACATTAATTCCTTTTACAATGTCTGTACAGTATGTGATCCTGGTACCTCTAGTCTATTAGAAGTGTATAAATAGGAGATGAAGAATGAAGATGATGAATATGATGAATATGATGAAGATGAAGAATGAAGAATGAAGATGAAATAGGAGGTGAAGACATACAATATATATGTCTTCACCTTCCTATATTAGTGTCCTAGTTTCTATGTCTCTCATCAGAATGATGTAGCTTCCATATATATTATGAGGTCCTGGTACTTCAGTCGAGTGGGCTATTGGCAGTGGACGTTGTTAATTAATTTCTTAAGAGCATGTGATCTTTTTTTCTTCAATTTAGGGTTGAGATTAAAATTATGGTTTGATTGTATCAAATACTTTAAGAGCGAGCGCACACCATTGACAAAATCATCGCACAACAGTTGTGCGATTGTCGATTTTGCAGCCAATTCAATTTAGTTGCACGACTAAAAATCGAGTAGTGTGCGCACCTCCATGTCATTGGTATCAAAACAAGAGTAAACAGTTGTGCGATAGTTTTGTCAATTACGCTCTAATAAGGAGTAATTCAGTAAACTAAGATGTCATATTCATAGACTAGTTTATGGTTGAGTTTCGAAAGATAATCTGTATCGCATAATACCGGACGCCGGTTAAATTCTTAGAATTCCTGTCTTTGATAGTTTTATGATTATGGATAAAGCGATACGATAATTTATCTAAAACCTTATTATATGACAATCGGCGCGCGCTTTCTGACACCTTATTGCCTATTACAGATGGAGATAATGGTAATTTATTGGGACGACAGTGATTATGTGTTGCAACAGAACCGTCGAAATTTCACAATTATTATGAATTTAACACAAGATTTGTAATAGAACAATTATTATAATCAGCCAGGTAATTCAGATAAGTTTAGTTTATTTGATAGTAATCTTACTGTATATGTTTTTGATTACAATAATGACCTAATTTATTTTTATAATAAAAGGGGGCAAACGAGTGGCTAGATCACCGAGATTGTCAACGACGCCCATGGACATCCGCAACACTAAAGGAACTACAGATGCGTTGCCGGCCTTTGAGAAAATGATAAGCTCGCTTCTTGAAGGACCCTAAATCGTATTGGTTTGGAAATACCGCCGATTAAAAAAAAATTACAAATTGTAAATAAATTATTCTTATTTTGTTTGCATTTTTATTACTAAACGAACCTATTCTGGTGGTACTCTCCTATTGTGAATTACCCTAGGTTCTGTTTACAGTATTGAACTTAGGACTGGCGAGTACACGCTCGCCTCACTGTACCAATGGGGTCAGCATTAACATAGAGATGGATGGGATATTGAACGCCCCATCATGCGGTTAGATTGTCAACTCCCCGCAGCGCTACCTCTTTTCGAGGTACAATCAGCAACATAATTGTCAACAATTCTTTTTGTTACATGTTTTAGTATGAACATTGTTTATTTATTTATCATTAAATTTTACATGTGTTACATAAAGAAGACTATATTTATAAGTTAGATATGTAATGGTGCAAATAATAGTTCACTTTCTTATTGGAATTATTTTTTTTCTGATAAAAAATTAATTCATCTTGAGTATCTATGCGACATCTTGTAAACAATTCACTTTAAAATCTAAGGTTACGTTCCTAAAAAGTACTTTTCTTATGTAAATAATATTTTAATAACTTGAAAAAACTAGTGAAATTCGTCATTTAAATAGACTGACGAAAGCATAATCTCATGAGGTCTAATAAAACATGTTACTGCTTCATCATTTCCCCTGCCTTATCCTACTCCCGTAGGGTCCGCGCACCAGGTTTTCGTCCTCCAAATAACTCTGTTATCCGTCATCTCAGTCATCACTCCCTTCTTGATCATGTCTCCTTTCATACAATCCATCCATCTCTTTCTAGGTCTACCTCTACCGGTGTACCACACTCATAACTAACGTCCTTGTTACATGCGATTCATCCCTTCTCATAACATGCCCATACCACGCTAACCTTTTACTCCTTATTTTCTGAACCACTAGGGCTACTGTCAAACTTCATCTAACGTGTTAAAAAACATAAAACATGTTACTGTTTATGTTCTATAAAGTATAGGTAAAGTTCTAGGTTTAAAGTCCGTCACTTGTGTGTCGCAGTGTACTATCAACATTATGTAAATGCAGAAGTAAAGGTACATGCACATTGTGATTGAACATGCACGCCGCTGCCGGTAAACGGGATTCTTATAAGAAAATCAATTGAGCTGTTTTCCTGCCGCCGACTCATCGCCTTTTATTTATTTAAAAACTAGCTTTCCGCGACTACGTCCGCGTGGAATTAAACAAAAGTAAGTATGTGATATTGGGATATCTGGGGAATCTGGGGGAGTCTGGGGACTATCCTCTACATCTATGCCAAATTTCATCGAGATCCGTTTAATAGTTTAGGCTACAAACTCTAACATACATCAATTAACTTTCGCAATTATAATATTAGTGAGTTGGCAACTACACCATTGAGTCCATAACATGAGTTACTTTATACTTCGTGTTAGATTTCTAGTTAGTTAGTTTACATTCAAAGTTCTATTTTAACTGTTTATTTCGGCTGTTGATCAAAATTCGACCATAGGTTAACCAAACATTTATTAATAATAAAAAGTATTATGATTAGAGGCACTAATTACAGTTGAAATTTTGTAAAAAAATATTTTATAAGCCTGGTTTAATCAAACGTTTTAAATGGTAAGTTTCTAATACTAGGTTAAATTGTTTATGCGAATTGACAATAATTTAATAATTTGATGACAATTTGTAGTTTATTGTTAGATTGGATAAAAAACAGTAAGAGAAAAACAGCACAGTAGCGACATCTTTGATAGGGGTTAGTTTTAGGGATGAAATAAAAAAGTTAGAGCGCCATCTAGTTGAGGGTGACTCATAACTGAAATTAAAAATTAAAAAGGTTACAATGTTAATTTTTAAATTTATCACATAAATAAAATGACTATTATACTTATTCCTTAAACTCGAGCAATTTGGACATTATAATATCTAATAAAAAAAGTATGATTGAGATTCAATTTGTTTTAAAACTAGTTACTCTATTTTTTTCAAAATGATTCATGATAAAATTATAAAATAATAAAATATTTACACTTTTCAATAAATAAAATCTTATTGGAAATTTAATTTCACTCCTAACGCCATCTAGTGGTGAATAGCGGATAAGAACTCTTGAAATGGTAAAACAGCACAGCGAATGCTTCGGGACGCTTGAACGTGAAGGATAAACCCCACGCTAAAGTTTTCATCGTCCTAATTGCGTTATGAAGTTTACAACAACTATATTGCTATGAGATTCGGGTTTATGCCGGTAAAACTTTCCGCAGAGTTTTTTAACAAAGCGGTTTATGGAAAAATAAAATTACTTACCAACAAGGAGGAAATTTTAGAAGGTAAAAATTAAACTGGATTTGTTGTTGGGTTAAGTGAATAAATTAGATATTGAAAATTTTAATTTAAATTTATTTTTATAACTAACAATTGTGTATGCACATTTTATTTTATATTTATAGTAGCATTTTGCAAAGTTAAAAAAAATGCAGCCAATTATAAAATTGTTCCAAAAGATATTTCAAATGTCTGTTTCAAATTGTATTTTAATGTTCATATGCTAAAAAACAATCATTTCAGGATCTTTAATGAGCCAAAACTCAAAACCTTACAATAAACATCTTTACTCGAACATTCGAAATGTCGATGTTCACACTAACCGACATATTTCAACTAATGAAAATTCCGGGACAGGCCCAACTGTCCCGCAATTACGATCAAAACTTTTGACATACTAATTCAGTTCATTATCGCGTCAAAATTTGATTAGAAAATTACATTTCACCTTCTTTAATATTATAGAGATGTTACGAGTACAAATAGAAAATATACTGGCAACTGTTTTTTACTAGCTGACGGCAAATTCTTGAGAAAAATAGCTATGTTTACAAACATGTAACACGCGACAGAAGCCTAAGGTTATATTCAATTATTTACAGGGTTAATATTTTTAAATTATATGTTTGATAAATTAGAGATAATGCATGGTTACATATCCACTGAGATTAAAATAGGAATTAACAAAGAAGTCCTTTTTTATAAGAGAAATACAGAAATACTTTAAGAGTAATTTTAATAGTTTAAAAAAATAAAATAAAAATGCACCAAGATATAAAATCAATATTATTTACATTGTACTTTTAAATGACAACAATTTATTTAACCAATCTAACTAATATTATAAATGCGAATGTTTAGGATGGATGTTTGTTAGAGTTTGTGTAAACGGCTGAACGGATTTTGATGAAATTTGATACAAATGTAGAGGATAGTACAAAAGATAACAGGCTACTCACTTTTGATTTTTTTAATTCCACGCGGACTGAGTCGCGAACAACAGCTAGTTTAGAAATAAAACAAAAATGAACCAGTTTATAAAATAAATTTTATTTACATTGTATTTTTAACTGACAATTTATTTAACCAACTTAATAGTAGAAGTTGAATTATCAATTATATTCTTTGATGTAAAAAAACTACATCAAATACTATTTCAAAGAATGAAAATTAAAATCCCCTCTTTGATCCTAATTGAGTTATATTAAGTTATGTTTTATTGACATTTCATTTAGGACCAACATTATATATCACCTATGTATAAATATACATATCTTAAACCTTATAACATTGTTATAAAGGTGATAATAGAGTAACAAGTCACCCCTAACAAACTAATTTATCCGTAGTCGATGATGCGTGGACATTGCTGCTTTAGAAAAGGTTTCCTCGTTGAGGTAAATGACCTCGTTGGCTTCCAAATAAAGTGCTCGAAGTTGATAAAAGAGGGCGTTCGATCCTTAGGGTAATCATTTAACTATGTAGAAATAGCGCTGTTTTAATTATATTAATATAATATACGATAAATTAATTCTCATTATTGGATTTTTATGTAAATTTTACTTGAAATTACCACCACCTTATCGCTTTTATTAAAACAGTTTTGTCTGTAAATAGATAGTGTTCTGATATTTTAAATCCACATTATAAAAATTGGAGTAGAGGTCAATGACGTCACAGGTACAGTAAGCAAATAAGATTACATAATCGAATAGTTCTGTCATGAAACAGTACACAAACCTGTACAGTATAGTACAACAAGGTTCTCATAATAGTTTTTTGACATAGATATGGCACTAGCGAGCTATCAAATTTTAATTTTTCTTTTGCACATCGAGCCAGTTAATTTGCTCGGTCTATAACACAATCAAAGGAACATAATAATTATAATTGTATCTATTTAAACAGTTAAATGTATACACTGACACTCAGAGTCGATAATTTTTGGTTAAGTGATTGACTTTAAGATGTATTCAGTAAAAATCTCCTGTAAATCGAGTCTTCAATTGTCTAGTCCCAGTCCAACCTCTCAAGAAATGAAACCTACATAGTACGTAAACTATGCCATAAGTTGCGTTGTTACCAGTACTAAAGTTTTAATATCGTCGATGTGGCGCGGATCAAATCGCGTGCCGCTTTATTATGAGGCACAGTTGAACGACGGTACAAAAAAATATGGAGTTTTGTCGTGATGGTAAAAAAAATCCCACCCCCCAAAGCGGAGGGTCGCCCCCAACACATTAAATTCCATGGGGGACGTTGTTGCTTCGAAAAAAATATCTTATGTGCTCACGGATCGGTGCTTTACGATTAATATGACCTAAAAAAATCGGAGTTTTATACTCACAATACCTATACGTACATCATACTTCATACTAATATTATAAATGTGAAAATTTAGATGGATGGATGAATGTTTGTTAGAATTTGTAGCCTAAACAGCTGAACTGGAGGAGCTGATTTGGATGAAATTTGGCATAGATGTAGAGGGTAGTCTGGAAGAACACATAGGCTATTTACTTTTGTTTTTTTTTTAATTCCACGCGGACGGAGTCGCCGAAAGCTAGTAGGTAATATTGTCTTGGTATTGATTAATGCTGTTACTGAAATAAAAGGGAAATTCAATATACAACCCTGATTATTTAAAAAGGAGATTTCATTTTAAGTGCAGGCGCACCTTTAACTAAATTATTGCATTAATGTTGTGTGATTGTCGATTGTTTTGCAGCCATTTCAACTTAAAATCGAGTAGTGTGCGCACCTCCATATAAGCTCATAGAAATCAAGGCGCGACTAAACAGTTGTGCGATAATTTAGTTTCAAATGTGCGCACGCAAATTCTGACTAATCTGAACGTAGATTTCAAATGCTGTTATTGGTAAAATTGAGAATATGTTTTTGTACTGGTATTCTCGTATTAGAAGCTTACGATAAAAGACGGATTAAATTTTCGGTTGTACAAAGCAACGCTAATCTTATATAAAAGGTGTTCTTTAAAAGCGTGTACAACGACTCTTATGTTACCAAAACAGCGTTTACGTTATACATACTATCTTACTTCTATTATAAATACGAAACTTTAGATGGATGTTTGAAAAACTGTTGCCGCTTTAAGTATTGAACGAATATATATAATTGGGCATCATACATAGACACATAGACTTTTGTTTTAAATTCCAGAAACACGGATAAAAGCTTACATGTTATAATTTAACAACAATTTACAATAATACAATTTGAATATCTTTGTCCATTCAGAAATCAAATCGATTATCTAATTCGTTTGGCGTCTGTAATAACAGCTCGTCTCTCGGGAGCGTCTGGCTAATTCTTACAATTACCGGGTCCGGGTAATAGAGGGCGCTAATGCTAATTATCAATTAGTTCCGTGCTCCCTTTTGTCTTTAGGGATGTCAATAGTACGGATATTGCTTTGATTTTATTAGTATAATATTTTGTTAAGTGGTTAATAAATAAACTTCATCAAAATTGACAAAAACGTGACTTAAACTAGGTACGTTGTTTTAAATGAATTAGTACTACCATTTTATTCTACAATTTTTTTATATCTTTTATTTGGTTTTACTAGAATAGTTTCAATCCAAAAGTTGTCGGAACAGAAAAATTACGGGTTCTCCGAGGCATTTACTTCTCCCATGTACCTGAAAAATAAATTAGCCGTAATTGTAAAAATATCATACTTGACTTAATATATTTAAATCACCAGTTATTTTTTTAACACAATTTAAATTCAATGTTATATTTTACAGAGTATACACAACAGAAAAGCTAAAGAACAAAAATAACATTACTAGAAGGCGAATAATAACACGGTGCAATATCATCTCTAGAAGATATACAAACTGTGAACTCCACGAAGGTTTGATTAATGCAAATAGTAATTGCTTGAAACTTGAAATCGTGGTCAAAGTGAATCAGAGGTTGATTGAATAATGTTATAAACGCATTCCTGTCTATTATTAAGGATATTTTGTTGTGCAACAGTAGATTTCAATTAATAAAACACTTTAAAACTTCGAATGATGAGGACAAAACCGAGATTTGTGCCTCTTAGTTCACCGCAAAAATTGTTGCTAAATTTCCCTATATATTTTACTTAAGCGAGTATCAAACGACCTGAAGTGAGTAGAAACACTCTTATAATTTTCCCTTCTACTCCAATTTTAGTAAAATTTAATCAAATTCAGAAAACGTACGTGTGAAACTGCCCTTTAACGTCAGCAGAACTTGCAGCTGAACGTTTTTTTAATATGAGGAAAATAAATAAAGAAGCCGCATCAAGCGGTGACAGCCAATGAAAAATTAATGAAAAACGCATCGCGTGCCAACTTATGCTAAGCACCCGATAAATCTCAACCTCACTGTCCCCTCCCCTTCCCCCGAGGCGGTTTCCTCGCAATTTATTCTTTCTCGGAGGCCCCTAATCCCGTTATTAATGGTATTTTGCCTCCCCCCGCGAGTGTGTGCCACTCGGTGCATTATTTGAAAGGAAATTGAGATAAGAAGCTTTTCAAAAAACACAACTAGCCATCTTTGACTTATACTTAGATGCAACTTGGATGGAAAGTTTAATTTTCTAACCATACTAACAAACTTAAAGCGGAACTTATGAAATAAGCGCATTCCACACTATCAAAGTTTTAAATATAAGAAAAATTTAAATAAATTTTAATTACAAGTACTTCCATTTAAGATATGAGAATATTATTTTAAAAATATTACAATTTTAGCGAATGTTAGAAGTCTTTAATTAAATTAAAAACCTAAAACGCATAATGAATATTGAAAAATAATATGTGGCTTTTATATCAAGATTACGTGCAAGTTAAAATCGTCTTCGAAATGGTACTTACGATGATTCTAAATTATTAACAACACTTAAAACAAAACAAGTATAAACCCTCGGCTGCGGCAATTTCGGAATATATAAACGAGACAAAAATTCAACAACATAAGCGCGCTCAAACAGTCGAGGGGATGTACATCTCATATAAAATTTATTTCAAATAACAATCAATTTAGCCCCAGCTCACTCGGCTACGTTATTAGGACAATATTTAATACAATTTCACGATACCAACGCTTTAAGCGATTATAGCCTTTGTGTGTTCGTAACAATGAACATTTTCCTACAATAAAGAAAGAGGAATGGACAACAAAAATATTTCCAACTGACTACTCATCAACATTGCGCTTTATTGAAATGAAATAAAAGGAAGAAAAAGAGAAGATCGAGAATACAAAGGTAAAGTACACTTACTTGCAAAAGTTGGAGATCTACTAATATTCTTTTACAAATGATTTTATCTGATTCCAACTGATTTTTAGTAATTCCTCGAAGCCAGCATTATTTGTAACTCTCATAGTCTTGTAAAGCTATAGCGTATTCTCTAAATTCTTGTGATTTTAACAGTCTTTCAAGACACCAAGGAGTCGTTTCTATGTCTACAAAAAATAAAGATAATCGATTAATTTACTTTTTACATAATAGTTTTAAAACACAAAATGTTTCAAATGTCAACTTTCACGTGTACCAATAACTTTGGCTTGAAGTGTATTTTAAAGAAAGCAACAGGGATTGGCCCTAGGCTGAATTTTAATAAGATGTCACTGCCATAACAAGGGCCGAAGGGAGGAGAAATTTTATAACAACGAAAAAATCTTATCATCGTATAATAACAAGAAGAATTAGGCTCTTTTAATTGGGCTTAATCGACTGGTGGAATGTTCTAATACATTGATAGGGCGAAAACGCCGCCCCGGGTCGTTTATAATTTGACAGCTCGGTTTCATAATGAGTGTATTAATTCTAATGGCCCCGTAATTAAGACGTTGTTTAGATTTTCTATCCTTTTTTTATTTTCGAAGTGTTAATGTTATGTTATAATTTATAGCTTTCGTTATTTTTAATTATAGCATTTAGTTGTTTGTGATCTTTTAATGTTTTAACTATGGAACGCACATGTTATCGAATTTATCTGTAAGGGTTGATTTATTTTGGTAGGAATGGTAGTATCACAGTGGTAGAGCCCGC